TCAGGCACGGAAAGCAGTGTCCAGAATGTTTAGGTAAAAAGCACTTGCTTAGGCTGAGGCACCAAAAATATTTGACTCCGTCTGGACTGAAAGTACTCGGTTACATGTAGACTAAAAAATTACTCAGCTATGTTTAGGCTCAAGACATAGCTATGGTTAGCTAAACATAACTTTCATACTAGAGCAATAGTACTCATGTGAAGGCAACAAAAGTACTCAGTCGTATTTAGGCTAAAAAAATACTGCTTAGCTTTAGGCCAGAAAGTACTTGGTTAGTTTTAGGCTAATAATACTCCTGGTTTAAGTACCACGAGTATGCGGTTACCTTTAGGCTCAATTATACTAAGTTAGCTTCAGGGCTGGAAACACTTGGTACTCAGTTATGTTTAGGCTGAAAAGTACCAGGTTAGCTTTAGACTAGGAGCTTTTTGTTTAAGCCCAACAATTGAATGATTTTCTAACCTAACGAGTTGATGAGTTATCTCAGCTTTGGTTAGGATTAAACTACAAAAAGTACTTTGTTGTCCTCAGGAAAAAACCTAATCTACTAGAGTAAAAGTACACTAGTAGGTACAGGAGCCAAAAGTACCTGGTTGTATTGAGACAGGGTACAGGGTTAGTGTTAGACCCCCGGTCAGGCTTAAGCTCCAGCAGTGACCTATATTTTCAAACTTAATTGAATCACCTCCGCTTAGTTTGAATTATCTCAGTTTTGAGGGGAGTCATTGAAATGACTGCAGTAAAAGATGGCGCTGACTGACGCATGACAGGAAGTTACATAGACTTCCATCCATCTTCTTCCACCCGAGCATTTTCCATCTGTCACAGGCTGGAGGTGGAATACACCTTGGACTGGTTGCCAGTCTGTTGCAGGACTTTAGCAGGTTACCTATCCAACCAAATCCTGGAACGTCCACTGGCAGCCACCTGTCAGCCACTAAGTGATGCAGGACGAGTGAATTCCTTTATATGTGGACGGGGTTTCATTTCTGCAGCACTCTGTAGGCTGGAGGACATGGTTCACTATGTTCTGGACAGCACACTGCTCCCCTGAGTTTGTCAAATGCTCTGCAGGCACTGTCAGAGGAAAGTTTTAGAGAAACGCTCTCAGTTTACGATTAAACTTGAAATCGAATTCAGACTTTAACTTCCTGAGAGTGGTCAAGCTCCAGTATCAACACAAGCTAAATGCATCTTTCTGTAGAGGCCATATCCAGGCTAGTCTCCAGCCCAGTTAGGGTCATTTTTCTCTCAGGACTGTGTGCAGCACCACCAATGAAGGAATTTCTATTGTCAACTAACCTGAATGAGAGTCCCTGTAATTGTGTGTTCATTGCTATTATTACCTAATGCTCACTGACTTTGATACATACGGAGAGACTCTTTCAGGCTCTTTTCCATGCAAATTATTTTTATTTGCTTTCTCTCTCCACAGCCAGACGAAGCTAATCATCGAGTACGGCCAGAATGAGACGAGAGGCTTTGACTGGATTCAGTTGTCCATCCACCGTCGCTCTGTCTGACGGACTGCCGGTCTGCTGGATGAAGATTTAATTGGCTGTGAACAAACACAGAACAATAAACAGCCAGAATAAATACAAATGCGGGCACATCGGGGGGAGAGTGGGAGAGAAGATGAGCTAAAAACAGCAACTGTGTGGACATAAAAACTGGACCCGTTTCATCTTTTCTTGCCGTTTTCCGAAAGCTGTTTGGAATATTTCTCGAGTCGGATTCCTCATGTTGTTTGCACCGTTGTTATGTCATGGATTATTTGACGGGACGGCCACTTTTTTGCAGGAGCGTCATACTTTGATCATCAGAGATGCTCCTGACTTCTCATTAAAGAGAGAACACCCGTCAGGAACATGTTTTTGAATGTGACGTTTTATTCTGGCATGGCCGTCTCAAACCCAGCTGCCATGCGTCCTTCACTGCCTGAATTTTTCTTTTAGATTTAGTCAAATTAACGACTTCACAATTCGCTCTTCAAGCTTCACCCGTGACTCCCACCAACCCCTCCCACCCTCAGCCATCCAACCAATCATGGGCAAGCCTCTCAGCCGTCCCGGGTGTTTCAGGAAAAGCTCTTGCTGCCTGGAGAAACATGGAATTGGGGATGGTGGAGTGGGAGGGCGAGATGGGGGGATGGAGGGGGGATACGGGGATGGCTACGTACCCCAGCGATCCATTTATGACACCATGTGCATCAATCAGCAGATTGACAGCCATCACCACCACCACCACCCTGGAGGGTCCATACGGCGAGACGTTTGCGGCGAGGGCAGTTTTAGCTACTCTACGAGTGGCTCGCTCCGAGTCAGCAGAGCGCCCCCCGACATGTTTGACTCGCAGCCACGGTCTTTAACGCCAAACCCCTCCTTTGTTCGGCGCTTGGACGAGCGAGCCATCTATGATTCGCTGAAGCTCGGCGGTCAGGACGGAGATGACGGTGGCTGTCATTCGCCGGGGCGGTTTACCCGATCGGTTTCTCCCTCTGTGTCTTCGTTCTCAGCTCCGGGTGTGTCCTCCTCCTCCTCAAAGAAACACCACCATCACCACCACCATCACCATGGAGACAGCACAAAGAGCCGAGACGGCCGACATTCCTGGAAAGTCCTGACGCCTCCGAAGCACCTGGAGTGTCTGGAGCTGACCACATCTGAAATGATGGACAGAGGAGGTGGATATCTAAACCCGGGGCACTACCCTCCAGCTGGGGGGCAGTCCTCCTCTCTCACCTCCCCCCTCATTTCGCCCTTCTCTGGCTCCCCTCTCTCCTCGGGCTACCACACTCCGGTGTTCTTCTCCCCCGCCAAACCTCGACCCAGCCAGACTCAGAGTTTACGCTGTTCACCTCCCCACGTGATCCAGCCCAGGCATTACTCCCAAACCCAGAGCCTCAGGCTGTCACCCCCCCAAGAGCTGAGGAGATCCCCTTACCGCTCCCCGCTGGTCCAACTGTCTGCTCACGACCTGGAGCAGGACCTCAGGGATCGAGGAGGAGGAGGGGGGGGAGGAGGATGGGGACGCAGCGAGCGAGAAAGGGAGTGGGAGAGGGAGAGAGAGAGGGAGATGGAGCGAGGGTGGGCTCAGCGAGAATGGGAGAGAGAGAGGGAGAGGGGAAGGCTGGAGAGGGAGCGAGCACGGGAACGGGAGAGGAGGGAAACGTCTTTCGCGACCTTCGGGTATGGCCGACCAGTTCCTCTGCGTTCGGACAGAGACTCTGTGTTTCTGGAGTCCGAACAGGGTCTCGACACGACGCCATTACTGCTCCCCCAGCCCTCTCCTTCACCCTCGCCCAGCGCTGCCCCCAGAATGGGCACTGGGGCGGTGGGTAGGAACAGAGCTGGGTCAAAGGTCGGCCCTGAAGGTGTGGGTGGGGTCATGGTTTCCAAATACGACAATGGAAGCGTGGGTTTGGTGTTGGTTGATAGTAAATCTGGGTGTGGGCCGAGGTTAGTGAGCGAGGTTGGGGGTGGAAATGTGATGGAGGCTGAAATGAGGGCAGGAATACAAGAACACCATCGTGCTGAGAGCTGGAGCAAGTACGACAATGGATCCAGGCCCGGCGTTAAAAACGAAACGAGGATGGGCTCCCAGGTAAAAACAAGACCAGGGGGGCGGGATATGGAAGGAAAGGTGCAGTCTGGGGTGGGGAGGGAAAATATGGCTCCATCTGCAAACAAGGAGGTACACAGGGCAGGGTCATCAAAGAGTGGAGAAAGATCAGGGAGGGCTGTAGCGAAACCAGAACCAATCGCTGAAGCTACACCCTCCAATGTGACTGAGAGCAGGGATGAGCCTGGAGGTAGAGTAGATCCTGCAGCTGGATCTGGTCCAGGGATGAAGCCACAGGGAGGAGCAGAGGTGGAGACTAAGGCAACTTCAAAGAAGGTGGAGAGACGGAGTGAGGCAGAAGCTGAAGTAGCTAAAGTAAATAAGGAAGTTGTTGCCGCAGCGGAGTCCAGGGTGGAGGAAAAACCTGAGACCGATGTTACGATTGCTCCTACATCTAAGCCTGAGGCAGCAGTAGAAGGTGTAGCTGTGAGTGAGACAGGAAATAAGACTAACAGTGAGCGCGGGGTTGACACTGAAGCCAAGAACAGCACCAAGACCGCAGACAAGGATCCTACCTGTGCTGCGGCCGAAGATAAAACCGAGCTTCCTGCTGCAGATCAATCTGAGAAAAAGACTTCCAACACTGATAAAACCGAATCCAGCCACGTGGAGAAAAGTTCACGATCCAAGAAGTCCAAATCCTCCAAGTCCAGCTCCAGGACTCGACCAGGCACCGCCACGGGGCTGCGGCCAGGTGTGGTCAGCCCGCGGCAGAGCAGGGCGCTCGGAGACCTCGAATCAACAGGCCCAGCTGAAGGCATCGAGTCCACGTGGCCTCGCCGAATCATCGTGAGAAAGAGGACCGTTCGTCAAGGTGGAGCGCTCCACAATCTCCCCATCCTCCCCCCCCTCCCCTCCGTCCTCTCTGCGCTGGAGAAGAGACGCCCACTCGGCCACCTCCGTGCAGGCCACTTCTCAGAGAACCCTTTATCTAATATAACAAACTCCACCAGTATTGTGGGGCGATGCTCGCTCAAAGAGCCCTCCCATCAGGAGCCGGGGTTGGGGTCCAGTTTGGTGGGCAGGGCTTCGCTGAAGGAGCAGAACTTGGAGCACTGGAGGATCTGCAGAGAGCAGGAGGAGCCAAAGAGATCCAAGAGCAAGGAAACACAAGGAGACAAGACTGAGGAGGAGAGGAAAGGGAAGGAAGAGCGGAAAGAAGAGAAAGACAGAAAGGAGGAGAAAGTGGAGATGGACAAAGAGAAGGGTGGGGTGGGGCTGGTGGAGGAAACAAAACAAGAAAGAGCAGAGATGGCAGTCGAACTGAAAGTCCAAGACAAAGCAAACAAGTACAAGGAAGCGAAAAAAGGCAGAGATATCGAGATAACTCCTGAAAAAGTGGAGGAGAAAAGTATGAAGATAAGGGATGAAACTGCTGGGCGAGGCTTGGAGGAGGAGGAGGAGGAGGTGACATTACAGAAAGAAGAAGGAGAGGTGGAGGGAGGAGAAGGAGGCACACTTGGCGAGGAAGGAGGGGTGGAGAGCTGGGATGCTGTCCTTGAGATGGTCAACACTTTGTGGGATGACGGTTGGGATAAAGGAGGAGCAGGAGGAGGAGCAATAGGCGATACAGACTCCCTCTCGGGCTCCCTGCCGCGCTGGCCTCTCCTCCGACCCCCCATCGGGTTCGGAGGCTCCCACCCTCCCTCCTCAGCAGCCTCGGAGCTCAGCCTGACGGAGCTGGAAAGGAGAGCCCGGGAGCTGGACTCTGACCTGGAGCACCTCGACCTGTCTCAGCCCCACAATCAGGAGTCGTACCCAGCGCTCCTGGAGCCTCAGAGGGAGCGAGCGGACATGTACCAAACTCACCCCGGGCCTCAGAGGGAGAAGGCCGGCCTGCACACAGGTAAACACCGCACACACCTGCAGGAACTCACACTCGACACATGGGCGCTCACGCCGCTTTAGAAATCACACCTGACAAATGTGCTGGCAGCCTGAAGCGTTAGATGATGAGTTAGACGATACAAACACAGGAGTCAGTGAAGCTTACTGACGAACACGAGGTAGGCAGGATGAAGGTGAACACCACCTCGTTAGCTGAGAGCTGATTGGGAACGAGACAGGTGGAGACAAAGAGGCACGAGGTCCGGCAGAAATGTGACCCACATGAGTGGATTTATAGTCCAAACACGGTGGATAAAAGTAATGAAACATCTGTCGTCGCAGTCACACACTGACTTCTTGTTCCAAAAATAAATTTGGCTCCAATAAAACCAAATCGAGTCTGACAGTCGGGGTAACATCTTCAGATTTTCTAGGCTTTCTTTATTTCTGTTTACAACAACAGGTGTTTAATCCCTTTAAACGAAGAAGATGCTTTTGTGCTTGCTGTTTGTGCTCCGCCGGTGTAATCACGCTGCAGACGCTGAGCAGGTTTTGGATTTCAGTCGCTGTTCTGTATTGTTTGTGACTCAGAGTTTAGCTGTGATGCTGGCTGTGAATTATTGGACCAAAACTGGAGGTGGTGGTGAGCTGGTGCCAGAAGCCTGCTCCTCCAATCGATGTATTTATTCACAGAATTTAGAAGAAACAGCAGCAAAGCATTTAAAAGACATGAAAAGAGTGAAAAGAAGAAACACAAACAAAAGTCAATAATAGAGAAGATCAATCATCTATGAAAACTTTATAGAAGCTTCAGAAAAGCCTGTTTATGAAGGTTTTAACAGTTTGCAGTGAGGAGCTGAAAAACTGTTGGGAATGCTGCTGTGGGAGGCAAACCTGAGCCGAGCTGCTTCCCACTGCTGGAGCCCCTGCTGGACCGTAGAGGAACTGCAGGTTCAGGTGTGCAGCCACTTGCAGCAAAGTCGTGTGGATGAATATTCCTGCATGTAAATGTAAAATATAAAAAGCAGTGACAATTGTTCAGCACAGCAGGGAGTGGTGTTACCTTCCCCCTCGTGGGGGAGGTTGAGTCAGAGCCAGGTGGAGATTTGGAAATGCTTGCAGCAGTGACAGATTCACTGGTCCATACAGGAAAAGTCAGGGCTTTAAAACAGGAGCGTTTCTGCTTGATTGTCATGTGAGCAGTGGCTTTCTTTGCTTCGATCCTTCCAGGAACCAAAGAAAGCCTCAGATACAAAACAGCGGGGAAGAAAAGGCAGGATGCACTGGTTATAACTGTTCCTCTGTTTAAAAAGGTAAATATGTGATGTTCTTTTCAGGGGTGGGCAGCAGGTCCCAGGTCAGCTTGGAGCTCAGTACTACAGCCTCACCGGCTACAGATGCCGACAGACCTCCCGGCTCCTGGTCAACCAAATCTGCCGGGATGTCCACCACTGGCACAAGGTAAGGAACCTAAAAGTGTCACTGCAGGACGCCAGAATCCAGGATCAGCCATATCTCCACCCTTCAAAGGCCTGTCCTGTGTCTCGTGAACTGAGGACAGATACAGGCGTGTTTGAATGTAATGGGATTACTGACGGGAACAGGAACCAGTGCAGAAACAGCACTGGCAGCTAAATGGGCAGAGCTGTTTCTCTAAACTGGAGACCAAAACGATGTGTCAAGGTGATCAGAAAAACTGATTTCCATGGATGAAAATACGTCATATTCTGATTTCATACTCAGAAACAGGGTGGTTTAATTACACATCAGGCTGATTCACAGAATCACACTACAGGCAAAATGAGCAGGGGGTGACCGTGGTTCAGGGGGTTGGGAAGGTTGTCGGTTTGATCCCCAGCCCTGTCTGTCCTGGTCGTTGTGTCCTTGGGCAAGACACTTCACCTACCGCCTACTGGTGCTGGCCAGAGGGGCCGACGGCGTGATATGGCAGCCTCGCTTCTGCCCCGGGGCAGCTGTGGCTACAACCGTAGCTGCCCCCACCAGTGTGTGAGAGTGAATGAATAGTGGCATTGTAAAGCACTTTGAGGGTCTCGAAAAGCGCTATATAAATGCAATCCATTATTAAAATAATGATGACCGAAGTTACTGCAGCTGTGCAGTGAATCCAGTGATGTCACTGCCTTTGAAATGATCACATGTGAGAAACTGAAATTGAGGAACTGCAGCACAAACAGTGACGTAGTTGCTGCAGGATGCTGAACTTAAAAAAAGACTCGCTCTTCTAACCAGGATGCAGTCGAGTCCAGTGCTGCTCACTCAGACCGATGCTGATGTTGGCACTCATAAAGACAGCAATGTTTGCAAACCTTTGCTAGTCAGACTCAGACTGATTGGAGACACGTTGCCTCCCACAGGTTAAAGGTCTCACTGGGCAACCAGATTGTTGCCAATTGGTCGCCAAGGGTCAAAAAAAATCAATGCAATCACTGGGAAACCATCGGTTCTCTCTAGTAACAAGGAGGTTGGCAGATAGCGTCCCGCCAGTGACGTGTGCAGTCGCCTTGCAATCGAAACTGGCTGTCCAACCACTTAATTTAAAGAATCAATGCAGCCACCAATTTTTCCTGGTTATTTTTACGCTCGTGTGACTGAACTGTGAAGAAAGTTTAACACTGGATATTCATATATGATTTCAGATATACACGTCCACACATATACACATATATATACACTGAGCAATAAAAACATCAGACTGTCTGTTTAATGGATTCGAGCTGCTGTTTTATTCGCTGTTATTAGCTTTTGTGTGAACGTCCCAGAACAGAGCGAGCTGTACCTCGTTGAGCTGAAGCATTTAAGCTTAAATGTCATCCAACTAAATGATCTCTAATCATATTCTTCAAACTGAGCTTTGAGGGCTGGAGCTGCTGTAACTGTGTTTGTAATCAGCATCATTATGAAATCATTCATATGAAGCTGTTGCAGGTGACACACGTTTTATTAACTTTCCTGTCTCTACCTGATCATTCCTCATGGCTTACAAATAAAGACACAAACCAAACCGTGTCACAGCCGCAGCAAAATTTAGAAAGTGAATGTATTTGTAGTGATGTGTCCATCACCCGGGATATCTGTGCCGATGTCTTGGGGCTGTGCGGCTAAAACAAATCAATGGCCTTGATCTGAAAAGTGGGTTATCACTTTAAAGGCTTCGGGGGGGCTGAGCACACATGGGGATGCTTCACCGCCTTCTGTCCTTTTCTTCTTTTCCAGCTCTGCTAAAGAGGACAGCTCTCCAGACTCCAACCTGACGCTGGAGTCCGACTCAAGCGGCGTTTTCCTCTCCTTATCCAATCAAAGCCAGGAGGAGGCCGGCTCTGACAGTGACCAGCCAATCAGTGGTTCCGACCTGGGCAGCAGCAGCACGTCGCTGGAGAAAGATGGGGACGATGGAGGGTTAAAGGAGTGGGGGAGGGAGGAGAGCGCGGAGCTACAGTGGTGCTACCCGTCACTCCTCAACACGTGCTCGCAAGAAGACATCGAAGGCGAGAGGGAGGAGGCGGGGCGCGGAAACATGGAGGAGGATGAAGAGAGGGGAGAAGGTGAGGGCAGAAGGAAGGATGGGAAGATGGGAATGGTTTCAGTCATCAAGAAGCCGTTAGAGCAGAGCGTTATTAAGAGCTCCATGGCTCTGAGAAGTGAGGACATGCCCCCCAGGAAAAAAGTCACCCTCATGGGAATAGACTCCCCTCTTCCTCTGTCTCCTTCAAAGCAGCCAATCAAACACTTTCTAGATCCCAACCAGAAGCCAATCAGAACATCAGGGCTGGACTGTGGCGACATAGATCCCTTCGTCCAGTCGGACAGCTTTGTTTACCTTGCTGTGTCTGCAAGACCTGCCTCCAAAGGTGAAGTCACCATGGTGACAGAAGCCCACGATGTGAAAAAGGACAGTATACACCTCCACACACACGGCACGAAAACGCACGTGGATCCGCCTAACCCCAACCGGGACGCCAAGCCAACACAGCTCGCCCCACAGAAGCCAGAGGAGGGAGATTTCCTGTGCACCGACAGCTTTGTCTACCTGGCAGCTCCAGCCTGCCTCCTGCTGGGCCCTCCAGGAACTACAGCCTACAGCGGCAAGTGAGTATGCACTCGTCTACACTTCACCTCTCAGCTGAAAGAGATGTATTTATTTATAAAAACCATCCATTCATCCATCCGATCATCCATCCATCCATCCATCCAGTCATCCGATCATCCATCCATCCATCCATCCATCCGATCATCCATCCATCCA